TTCGGCGGCACATTCCATGTTAGCTCGCATCTCGGTCATCTCTACCTTCTGGGCTCGTAACGTTTTGTCACATCTGTCATCGAGCTGCTAAATCCAGAGGAGATCTTTGTCGCGGATGTGGCCATGCTCGGTCTCCTCAGTGGGTTGACCTCGGCTGCCATATCCTCATCGAGGTTGATGACTGGAGCTACCCTGTCTGCGGTTTGTGCGTCCTTCTCTAGAAATCTGGCAGTTTGTCTGCCTTGGCTTGCCTCGCCGGTTTCCGAGGTGAGATGCAATGGCAAGAAGGTCCGAATTCTAGGCGCGTCGGCTGGTGTTGAGAAGAGAGTCGTTCGGTTAAGTCGCCCTCTTGTTCGCCTAAAAATGCCATGGCCTACTCCTATGCCTAGAACTCGGCTCGATGTGGCGAACATGTCAAGTTTGTTGGCCATCGTTGAATTCAGCTTCTCCTGCTCTTCCGATTTCTTGAGTTGTGCTTCCATTACTGCCTTGATTTGGTTTAGGACTTCTAGCGTCGGCGTTGCGTCTAATGCGACTGGGTTGGTGGTGTGCGCAGCAAGCTCAGTGAGATTTGCTCCGGTGTCTTTGTCGCCGGTCTTGTCGCCGTGTCCATCAGTCATTTTTACACGCCGGTCTTGTCGCCGTGTCCGTCTGTCATAACCAGTCTTATTTAAACCAATAAATCTACAGCCTTTAACCAAAAATCTACGAGACAAACAGTATTGTATGACGATTTCTTCAAAAATCAAAAATCTGTAAACATTTTTAAGTCTATTTGAGACGATTGATACATTGTCGAAATATCTACAACATAGCATGTATAGAAAACATTATATTAATTTTTTAAGATTAGTAGAATAATAATATGAAACTTTTGAGTCATCATATCCTAATCACTTCTTTATGTTGGTTATTTAGGCAAATTATTCAATTTTTGTTGGTTAGTTTCACCAATATCTCTTAATTTTATATATACATTGCTTCATGTAACAGTGAAACGCCACGTTGCCACATAATAAAATTATGTTTGCATAAAAATGTGGTTGGCCTTGCCCTGGAATAAACATTATCCAAAAATCTAACATCTCCACCAATCCTTAGCTTTCTTCGCGATCCAAAGAAACACAAGAAAATGCAAGAAAATCTTCATCTCTGAGAACACTCTTTCTCTCAAAATGGAGACCCTTCTCTCTCCTCGTTCTCTGTCTCCTCCTCTCAATCCCAAGCCATCATCACCTCACCAAACAAAATTCCCTTCACATTCCTTGTCTCTCTCGAATCCCAGCTTCCCCGGTCCTAAACACCTTTCAACTCGGTTCGCTAAACCGGAATCTTGGTTAACAGATGCGAAGCAAGGACTAGCTGCTCTGGCTCTGTCTCTGGCACTCAGTTTCTCTCCTGTTGGCACAGCCTTAGCCTCTGAGTTCAATATTCTCAACGATGGTCCACCAAAAGAGACTTACGTGGTCGACGACGCTGGTGTTCTGAGTCGAGTCACAAAGTCAGATCTGAAGAAGCTCTTGTCTGATCTTGAATACCGAAAGAAACTGCGACTGAATTTCATCACTGTTCGAAAGCTCACTGTGAGTTTCGTCTGTTTTTATTGTCATAAAAAGGATTTTTGTAAACCGTAAAGTTGAGACCGGAACCGGTTTGGTCGAATGCAGAGTAAAGCAGATGCGTTTGAGTACGCAGACCAGGTTTTGGAGAAATGGTACCCTTCCATTGAAGAAGGCAACAATAAGGGTATTGTTGTTTTGATCACAAGCCAGAAAGAGGGAGCCATTACTGGTGGTCCAGCTTTTATCGAAGCCGTTGGTGAAAAAATTCTCGATGCTACCGTCTCTGAAAATCTTCCCGGTATGGATCAATCTTCCTCTCTAGTTATATGAGTCAATCGAACCAACAATAATAACCTAAATGACCCGAACCGGTTTGTTGACTGGTTAGATCACCAATACTTCCCTCCGTTTTGAGTTGACTAGGACACTTAGTCTAATAATGTTTAATGAAAATCCAATGGAATACATGTACATTGTTGACAAACTTGCTTTTCTATTTTCTAATAGTAGGGACTAACTTGGATCTTGGAAACAACATATGGATTTTGCATATGAACGAAATAGAAAGCATGTTTCTTTTATGAAACATATTTATTTTTTAAAACATTCAACTTCTACACGGAGTAAACCAACATAAGTTTCACCTGTGATGTTAGAAATCAACTATGTTAAATTGGGAATGGAATTGATTAGTCTTTGAATGTATGATGGTGCAGTACTAGCGACTGACGAAAAATATAATGAGGCGATATACAGCAGTGCGAAACGGTTGGTTGCAGCAATAGACGGCCTCCCTGATCCCGGCGGTCCAGCAGTGAAGGACAGTAAGAGAGAATCAAATTTCAAAACGAAAGAAGAAACGGAAGAGAAGCGAGGACAGTTCAGCCTTGTCGTTGGGGGTTTGCTTGTGATTGCTTTTGTTGTTCCCATGGCACAGTACTATGCTTATGTCTCCAGGAAGTAGTAGTAACTCTGTTCACTTTCGTATACCAAACCGGTCAGGTCAGAACTTTGCTACCAACCCGGTTTTACCTCTCTTTATATGGTTATGGTGTCTTGGTAAATCGGTTTTATTTGAGTGTATAAGTAAAAATAGACAGAAACCAAAGAATGAATGAAAACAACCGATTTTAACAGCACTATTTAAAATTTTAAGCTTAGAAGAAAAGGCATCTGATCTGAAAACGGTGGATCGGAATACTTCCCGGTTAAGATTTGAGATGAAACGAATTGGTTTGCGGCTTCGGTATAGTGAATACCATCCCAGTTTATGTACTCGGAACTATCGTTGCAAGCTTTGGCCGTTACTGCTGTCCCATCTAAGACTTTAGTTTGGCCACAGGAAATGCGGCTATCATAGTTTAACGGCGGCCCTCCAACTCCACAACACGCCATTATCGGGTTTTCAAAACCTGAAACCATCGAAATTTATTGCTAAAACCAACATTACTCAAGATCAACGTAGTTTGAAAATGCTTACCGAATCGGGAGTAATTAGC